CCTTAATCCGAAGAACGATTTCAGCATCCAAAGAGCCATTTAAGCATTTAAGCACTCATGGTTCTAAACAGAGCCATTGCCTTTACTGAAGAACCCTTGAAGAATCGTCTTTTTAAGAGAATTGAAAGGTAAAGAAAGGTAATGAAAAATGTCCAGGCCTTACAAATCACCTTGTACTAAAGCAATACATGATATAAATAAAGATACACGTATTTTCATGATTTTTAACCTGACAAAATAACAAATGGCGAGTAAATATGCATAAATTCACCTGATAATTTCCTCCAAAATCTTTTCTAAAGCTTCCTACACAGTTGTTTGAGGCTTTTTCCGATTATAACGGACTCTGAACTTTGTACATGTGTCTACTTCAAAGAAAGAAGCAAATCTGATTAACAAGGTAAGCATTAGTTTTGAGAAAAAGAGGTGAACTTTGTCTCTGTTAGCTCAGCAAACTCGAAACCTCATGATTTCTGAAGCCGAATCATTTGGCTTGGTTGCTTGGCGTCATCTAGTGGTAGCAAATCGGCAGCTCACAATTTTATGCTTTCCATCGGGCGCTGCTTCCCATTAAAACTACAATAATGTTTGACCCAAACTTTCCGACCTAAATAGATAAAATGAAATGAAATGTAATTATATTTTATTTATAGGATTTACATGGTATATTTTTGTATAAGTGTGTATAACAACAGTGTTTAAATGATGTGAGGGTTAAATGGACTTCTCATTGTTCACTTTGGGGGTCTTGAGGCCACCACACGCTCCAAAAATACAAAACCATTGTTTTTAATGAATTGTTTTAAGCTAACGTTAAAACCAAACGTGATAATCCCACTAAATCAAGTTTTTTTAATTAAATCTATAGAATCTAGAATCTAAAATGGTTTTGAATGTCTATCCGCACTCTCACTGTGAGGCATTCTAAGAGCTACAGCTTGTACTGTATCTGCTCCGCAGTGCGTTTAGTGTAACCAAAATAGCTGAAAAGAGATTTTCACAGGGACCTCTCAAATGTAAAACTGTAAAGGTTAAAAGTTGATGCTGAAAAAAGTTGACATTCCCAACTTTACTTCAAAAAGCCAGCGTGTGTCCATATTAACCACTGAGCAGAAAAGAATCTGAATCATCTAAAAATCAATTACATCTCATCTAACATTATTGGCTGCAGCATTAGCTCATGTACTGATTTAACCCATTGTGGGTCAAAATGTACCTTTTTGAATGTCGAGGACATTTATTTAATAATAATAAAAAAAAAACGTATTGGTTAATGTACTGCTATGTCTGCTTCCTTTGTGCCACTGAATTTATCAGACAGCCCTGTTGGATAGATGGCAGCTATGTTGGATAGATGTCTCTGTGTCTAGCCCAGCAATCTGGTGTAAGTCAGCATTTAGCTGGTGCACAAGAGTGTGGGAGGCACAAGGTAGGTCCAATATAAACAGGCAGGCATGTTACTGCAATTCTGACTAAAAATGATTCCCAATAGTCGCCTTTCAGAATGTAAACAGTATCTAAAGAAATTAATCGAGTTGTTTTTTTGGTTTCATGTCAGCATGTCAAAATTCTTTCTATGACCTCTCCTACGGAGCTTCTAAGGCAGGGGTCGGCCACCCAAATGTTAAGAAAAGCCATTTTGTCCTTTCAAGAAAAATCAAACCACCTTGGGAGCCACAACATTTAATGTCTATTTTACCATCTTGACTGTAAATATGTCTCAGTATGTGCTAATGTGCAAGTATAGGCCAAAAAAACAAAAAACATAAAGTAGACCTACTTTGTTCTGCTTATGCTGTTGCTCAGCCACAGCTGCTTGCAGAAAACTTTTCCTCAAAAGCAAAGTAACATTATTTTTTTATAAAACGTCTCTCAACGTTTGACTTTTTACGAGGCTGAAGTCAGCTTTTCGTTCACCAGCTTCTTGTTCGAATTTTCCCGTTCCACCTTAAATGGTGCAGCAGTTATAATTAAGCAACAGAATACGAGAGGGAGTGTGTTATCGCGAAATAGCATCACAGCCGTGATGTTATTCGTGATAACACACAACCTCGAGTGTTCTATTGCCTTTATACAACAGTTAAATAAATGAAGTAAGAAATTAATAAATCGGGCCGTGAACGCGGCATTTAATATGTTTTAATGTTCGCAGTTCCTTCCGCCAAATTATAGTTCCTTAACAAGCAGCTTGTTGGTACGTCAGAGTAACGAACTCCGCTCACTCGCTGCACAGCCGGCAGTTCGTTCTCCAGCTCCACACTGACCAACTGACAGTCTGAGAATTTAGTGTGGTCTCATCTTCAGAGTCTGTCCAAATCGGCTGTCGGTCAAATGTGATCTTAAAAGTGTCCATTTTCTGTTTGTGCGCAAAGTAATAAGTGAAAAAGTCCAAATGGCTTGGGCGTCTCCTACAACTGTGAAAGTCGGAGTGATACAGTGTGTGTGAAAAACCCGTGATGATATCAGACAACTTGTAAACCGGCTCTGATGTTATGGCGAAATAACAGCGCGGTTAGGCTTCTCAACCAATCAGCTTGCGTGACCGGAACTAACTGTTGTATAATCTGGCTTCTCAGGCACCATTTAAGGTGGAACAGAAAAATTAGGACAACAGGCTGTTGAATGAGAAGCGACTTCAGCCTTGTAAAAGGCCAACGTTCACAACTTTTTAGTGTTCGACAGTTTTTCGTTGCAGATTAAACGTATCAGGAAACCAGCTGGAGAGCTTATGAATGCAAATAATTCCACTTGTTTCCAAATTATCGATGTTCGTCTTAAATCTTTCTCTTTGCCATTTCGTTAGCTGCTAGCTAGGAGCTGTTGTCTGCGTTGCAATGGTGATCAGCAGTCTGCGCACCAACCTTCAGGGTTAAAGCGTGAATTAGCAGTTTTACATTAACGCCAGTGTTTAAGACCATTTATTGTACTCGAAGACTCAGTTAACCGTTCAAGGTACTAGTATTTTAATACTGAGATCACTATTCAGGTGATCATTACACTCCATTGCAGGAAGACAATGTCCAGGCCAACAATTTAGCGAAACACGACAGTTTTGTTTGTATTTGTAAGTACGTTCAGTTGTACTTTACTACTATAACACAAGTGCCTAAACATGAGCACGTTGCTACAGACGTAGCTGAGAAGAACTGATAGCACAGCTAGCCCAAATTTTCTAGTCATGTTGGCTAGAAAACAATGAAAATATACTTATCTTACAAGTAACGTGTTGGCACATCGTCCACTGAGGAGAAAATACTTTGTGTATAAGGTCTTATCAGCATCAAACATGAAACTGGTTAGCTCTGTTGGCTCATTAGCTTATCTGAAGAGGCAGCCTCTGTTACTCACCCAACATGACAACCTACTGATTTCCCTCAACTATTTTTAAAAACGATTTTTGAATGTGCTGTCACTCAAAAAGGTAAGCCTCTTCAGATGAGCTTATTATTTTTGGCCAATAACATTTTTTTTAATAAGTTTTTCCTTTCTTGTCAATAACTGGATGTGGTCAATAACTCTTAGAATACTGTTACAACAAAATGAGTCAGAATGCATGTTCCTACTTTTTACACGGGTTTATCTGTATGTACACTGTAGGCAGAAACTTTCGTGCAAGCTTGCAAGCTTACTGTGTTAACTTCTAACAGCACCAACAATTGACCTCGCCATGTAGCTGCCGTACTGTAGCGTGGCTGCCTCTCACTGTTGGCTCTTTAAAGGCCTACAAGGCCCTCAGGGCTCCCTACTGTCATATCAACACCATAAACACTCACATTCAACAGAAAAAAGCACACACACTTATTATATGCTTCTCTACAGTGGTATAAACCACAATTTATTGCGAATTAACTAACTCGTGAGAGAGACATATGCTCCTCAAAGAAGCTTTAACCATTAACTTGCACTGGTACATCAGGAGAAACAGAAGAATATACAAGAACTGATTGCAAAATGATGCCACTTTACTAAGCTTAGAATGATATTCATGGACATGGATGTGTGCTGTGTGCGGGTCAGAATGAGTCCGCTCTGTACAATCCTTATACAATCCTTATACAATCCTTTAACACTTTATATCTCGCCTGCATTCTGGGACTAGATGCACCAAATGCTCTTGCATGTTTAAGCATTTTTTTTTAGGATATGCACTGCAGAATCTGAGAACATTTGACAGATTTTTTTCCCAGAACTGTCTTTGACCATCTTTGATAAGGCCAGAAATTTAAAATATCTCCCACAGCTGAAGGAAACAGACCTACATTTTTGTGCAATGTATGCAAAAGCTTGGGTACCCCCAGTCAAACAATATGTTTTGCTGATTTTCTAAGTGAGAATAAACATTTTAATGCCCTAATACTGCTTATTTGCTGAACTTAACAATGGAAAAAATGTGGTATGTGCAAAAGTGCACATTTTACACTGCCCAGTATGTTAAATTCAGCAAACAGAAATTGCACATTAATATTAGCAGAAAATGCCATATTTAAGTTTGTACCCTGTAGAGGACGTGTTCACTAGTCTTGTTCGCGTGTAATTTGACCTTGGGGTGTTCAATCTTCTGCATACAACCATATACAGTATATTCCAGCTTAATGGGTCATTTGGTCCCAGTTATCTGAGCGAAAAGAAGACAACACAGCCAAAGTGTGGTATCCGTTCCAGCCATGAGTTACTAACTTAAGAGGACTTTATCACTTATTCAATCCTGAAACATGAAAATCAAACTGCTTATGTGCTGTATGTATTTGTATTTGTGTGGCATAGTTAGACAGCACAGTTATCCAAACAAAGGTGACAAGGCTCAGCAGTCTTCATTCTTAAGAATAAAACACAAATACTCTGGTCCTTCACTTCTGCTTCAAATATATTTTAAAATTCTGGCCCAAAAAGAGAAAATATCCATACTACAAATACGCAGAAGGCAAACTGGATGAAATGCGCAAATGTATGCAACAAAACTGGAAATGAAACATTAAGAAATACATAGGCACCGAGAAAGCTGTTGCACATCTTGCTTTACAAACCACTTAGAAACTACAAAAAAATAACAACCCATCGTCATTAAACCAGTTACGTAATACATCAGCCTGCTCCATGCACAGCACGACACATCGGGCAATAATGAAGAGCGCCCCCTCCTGGCAGAGCCTGAGAGGTGCACGGCTCTGGAAATGCAGTGGTGTTTAAAAACGAAGGGGGCGTGACTTGGGGTCGTTTTTCTTTATAGTTTATTTGTCTTTATCAGATTCTGTCTTTTCTTCTTTTGGTGATGCCTCCACTTCAGGTGAAGATTCCTCATACCTGGTGAAAAAACAGAGATAGAAGAAGGCAGAGAGAGAGAGAAAGAGGAGAATGAGAAAGACATTGTCATGAGAGGTCAGTCAAGAAAACATGGTATAGCAGGATAAAGATCAGAGCTGAACGTTCAGCTGACAGCAGAAAGCATAGACTTTTCCTTCCTGCTAGCCAGCTATGCATACGGTGCGTTCAGATGGTCCGTCTAGACTCATGAAGAGAAGCTGAACTCAAGTAGCTGACAGTCTTTTTTTTTTTCATAATTAAACTGTTAAGTTTAGTCATTCAGGGTGGTTTGATGTGAAATACATTGTTCCAGTGAAACTCTGAGTCAGAACAGTCACAGTGGTTTTAACAGGAACCAGACATGCAAAATATTCAGTGGCACTAAAAGCTCCCTCACAGAAAGCTATACCATGACATGGTTATGATAGTGGTGCCAGAGACACAGTTTTCTCAAAATTATCATTATCAACATTACATATAAAAACATATGTATAAAAAGAAGACACATGTATGTTCACTCGTTTTAGTAAATGTCTGAATCCCTCCACTTAAAAAAAAACTCCAAGCTAGTGAGTTTCTCTACAATGAAACATTTCATATCAAATCATTTTTAATGACTGTTTACAAAAAAAGAAAAAAGGGCCTTCCATTATTTGTCCTACACTTGTATTTATTTAAAGGTGCAGTGTGTAATATTTAGTGGAATCTAGTGGTGAGTACCCCTCCCTCACCCCTCCCTTCCCAGGCATGTAGTAGAACCTATGGTTCTCCTCCATTTGACAAAATTTGGGTTCTCAAACTTCTCAACCACAGATTCTTCTTCTTTCTACACCTTCCAACCGGTGCTACAGCACCACCAAATTCAAGCTGTTGCTTCAGTGTAAAGACACACAAGGCGCCCTCTAGAGCCAGTGTTTGGTTTGTCCGTTACGGACTAATGTAGAAACATAGTGGCGCAACATGGTAGCCTCTGTGGGAAGAGGACCTGCTCCATCTCTAGATATGAAGGGCTCATTCTAAGCTAACAAAAACAATGATTTATAGTTACAGGTGATTATACACTAAGGAAAACATGGTTTTGTACACTGTATTCCATTGCTGCTAACAGATCGCCCTAAATCTTACACACTGCACCTTTAACCAGATCAAAACACAAAAGGCATTCTGTTTTGTTTTAGGTCATAAATCCTTATAGATTTTCTTCATGATCTGTTTGGCTTTCTCTGTCTGCACTATTTGTAAGTGGCAACTAAACATCTGCTTAATAAAACTCATTCCATAATAACCTAGATTACACGCTGTGACATCACCAGCCAAAACATTTTCTTAGACCACTTGAACCCAAAAGCCCACACTGGCATTGGTCCATCCCTGCAAATATACAATCACATGCAAAAGTTTGGGCACCCCAGTCATATGGCAGGTTTTGTTCATTTGCTAAGTGAAAATGAGTTCACACATCCTCTACAGAGAACACACTTCTGTATGTTTTAATGCACAATCATTATTTATTAGCTGAATTTAACATACTGGGAAAAAATAAAACGCAAAATGTAGCCTGTGCAAAAGTTATGGCACATATGGTACATTAAACTTAGCAAGCAAATAAGCAGAAACTGTGCACTAAAATTTGGATGTGTTTTCACTTAGAAAAACAATGAAACGTGTAATCAGACCAGTGGCATTCAAACCTTGACTGCATGTAATGTTCACGTTTGGAGTTTACCAGCTAGTGCACTTGTACTGGGTAGGAGATGTCAGGCCTCCCTTATGGGCACCATCAGAGCTTTGACTTTATTATGAGCACATGCTGAGATGAAGGACAGTGAGGTGTGGCGATGTAGCAGGCCAAACCTGCCCAGGTGAGAGAACCTATTCGCCTTTCACAGTTTTAAGCTGAGGGGTATTATATGTGGCAGACTATGGGAGTGATGTGATTAGCTGTGATTAAAGATCCTAAACTCCAACTAGAAAAGTCCTCCAACAAAACTCTAGCGATTTGCTAGCAGCTGCCTCCAAACATGTCAAACCAGAGACCCAACTCTCTGGTTTTGTTACAGCTTGTTGAGATGAGACCATGCTTAGAGGAGCATGTAAGCAAAGTCTTAATGGATCACCCAGGAACTGCAAAGCTCAAAGTGGACAACAGAGCCTAGTTAGTGTGATCTCATTCGAGAAATATTATCTCGGATTTCTAGTTGTGCAGGGCCAGATGTGATCTTTTAACAAGAATACATGTCTGGAGACCTATTAGGGTGGAAATAAAATGAGCTTGAAATTTCTAAACCAGTACAATGTTTTGAAAAGGCAGAGCTCAAAGCAAAGGCATTGACAATGACCTAACAAAAATCCTGACATTAGTGCCATGGATGGAAGCTAGCATGGCTAAAAATTAAGATTGTTAAAAGATTGTGTCTGGCCCCACGAGTGTGATTCTAGATATGCAGAGCTTTTTCAAAGAAATCTATTCTTCTTTGGCCTCCTAAAGAACAGTTCTTTGATTGGGGTAAAAGGGAATTCCAAAGAGTTTTCAAAGTGAAATACTTTATAGAATTTAACCATAACACTTGTATAGCCATTTCATTTATTATGCACAATGACCAGTGAACCCACATGTACCTTTTATTTAGTTTCTATGTATAAATATTGATAATTTTAAAATAGTGACATTTCTTTTGGGTACTGTTTTGTCATAGAAGACCCTGCATGTATCTCTCCAGCCAAAAGCTTGTCAAACTTGCTTTTAGAGGCATTGAACTCTTCAGAGGTCTAGTTATCTCCACCACAGTGAACAATTCTGACTTGACAATTTTCACTAGAACAGAGTATTTCACATCACAAACTCAACACAAACTTGTCTGTGGACTTAAATTTCCCTTTTTTCCTGTCTAAAAAAATTCTCTTTCCAAATTACATTCATCAGTGTTCTGTTACTTTAATTCTTCCAGTGATCATTTGTTTTGGGGGAACTCAAAGCATCAGAAAGGTAGCTTATTTTTTGTCTCGTCTCATGGCTTTTACATCATTGCTTGTTTTGCTTGCGTCATTGTTAGAACATTAATTCTCTCTGCCTCAGGCATGGTCAGACGTGTGAAATTTGTCACGTCATTAGTTAAAATTTTTGTGCTTGAAGAAAACCCCTTAAAGCAACGACACATACTTCCAGGGTTATGTGTGCCATAGTCTTGATTGTGACTTGACGTGATCAAGTAATTGATTGGTGCTTGATTATAGTGAAATCTACCACTAAGAATGGTACACCCCCCATTAAAAAACTGTTTTTCCCTTGCAATTATATTTAACATATGCTCCACAGACACAACACACATCTAGATACTTGCTTGTAGTTTTTTGGGGGGACTTTTCAGTAATACTAACTTACATTACATCCATGGGCTAACAACAGACTTGATGTCCTTCAGATAATGAGCGTGTTCACGTGCTCTTAATCTGATCATGATCTGATTTCTGCAGTTCTCTGACTATTCAAATGGTCATGTAAACAGCGTACTCCAATTTCTTAGATCGGAGTAAGGTCTAGAAATCCAATTAAAAAAATCCGAAATCAGATTTCTCAGTGCATGTAAACTCTTACTCTGATTTCTTTCAGATTTCTGGTTCTATGCATGTGCATAAACAGACCGCGGTTCCCGGAAATAAGCAAGGAGAGTTGCTGCGAGACAGCAGCAAAACACTTGGGGTGATGTCGAAACCGACAACATGCTTAACGAAATGAAGGATTTAAATATTATCTTCTAAATGATGTACGTTCATATTTTCAGGTAAAGTGGTGTGATGTTTTTAAAAAAAAAGAAAAATGCGGCATAAAGTTTGAGTTTTATGTCACGCTTATGTCACGTCTTCTTCTGAGAGTTCACTGGCTGGTTGCAAAGTGAAAATCCGATTACTGTCTGACTCATGTAGACCTGGAGTTTTCCCATTATCTGATTACTCAAGTGCATGTAAACACGTTGATCAGATTAATGACCAAATCAGATTTTCCGCAGTTATCGGATTATTAAGTACGTTAACACGCTCAGTGACGATCACCCAATAATTTGAGCTCTGCCTTCTTGTAGCATTGGACTGGTTTATAAATATCACACTGTTTCTTCCCACCCACACTTAGCCCAAATTTCTCATGGCTGTCCCCACACATTCTTGTTACGGGATCACCAGTGTTAGGAACCTCTGCATTAAAGGATGGCAGGATGAATGTAGCTGGGATAAGGATGTTTAACGGATGGAGGGTCGAGCACACTGGGATAAAAACTGGGGCAAATGAGGGCGTACCTGCCCAGGTGACAGTAGACAGGGCAGTAAGGACGGAGTGGCCGTTACATGTTGGAGGGGGTGTGGCGGCGGCGGCGGGGGGAGGAGCTGGCCGAGCTCTGCATGGAGTTAGCCAGGCTGGCGGGGGAGCCTGAGACAGTGGGGAAGTGGGTGAGGCGCGGCGTGTGAGGTAACACCTCCTCAGACGACTCATAACTACGCATCGCAGCGGGAAAAGGGTGAAGAGGAGAAGAAAAATAACAGAAAAGGAAATAAAAAATTGAACAAAGTGGAAAGGAGGGGAGAAAAAGGTGAGAAACAGTACAGAGAGAATAAAGAATAATAGGAAAGTTTATTTAAGCACATTAAAGTAATAGTTTGGTGAAAAATCTGATAGTCAAGTTTGCTTCGTTGGTTTTGCACTGAAAATATGAAGCTAATGTGAGCTTATGCACTCTAACTGTACACAAAACAGCAATGTACACCAATTAGCACTGTACAAATTGGAGGCCTAAATCATCACAGATTCGGCAAAAATACTACTGAGCTAAGTAACCTTGCTCAGAAAAACTTTGTATGACATGCTGTTACCTATAAAAATTGACAAAAGTATGTTGCATTGTAGGGCTGCACAATAAATCGCATTTTTAATCGTGATTGTGACATGAGTTTCCGCGAAAAACGCATTGTTAGGGCGGGACTTACAAGCCTCTGCGGCAGGACTGAACCTGCGCTCCCACACGGGAGACAAGTAACTACAAAACACACTTGGAGACCTTAAAATATCAGGCCTAACTCAGCTTTAATAGAAATTAAACTCAAAACAGCTGCAGTAAAGGAGAAAACATGCAGTGCACAAGCTAGCTCAGGCTATACCGTTTTCCCGCTAGCCAGCTGGGCTACTGAAGCTTGCTACCTTTTGCCCCCCTGGGTCCTTCAAAATAAGAGTCCTAGACGAACTAACAACACAGGGCCTAACTAGTCTCAACCGAAATCAAGAACAACGTTATTTTTAAACTAAATACAACCCGGTGTGTGTAATGGCTCATTATTTAATAACTAAACAAAAAATAAATAAATAAATAAAATGAGACAAGAACATACTTATTCTTGTGTACCTACATAAACAATAAATATAGATTTCTTTAGTTTGTAGCCTTTATAGAAAAAGCTGTGTAACTGTTTCTCAGCCCTTCAGTGCTGTGCTTGCAGTTCTGATGTAAGTAGTTGTTAGTACTTCATTTCTTATTTTGCAGAGTAGTAAATGGTGCTGTTGTGATTTTGCATTTCCTATTTGTTTAAAGAGGGGTTTAAAAAGAGGTTAGTTACATTTCTGTTTACACATCCCAAAAAACATGTCTGCACCTGTATTACATCCAGCCAGACACATTACTTTAGTAGTAATTTATCGCTTCTCATGTCATCATCATGATATCCAACAGCTTTATTGAACATCGCATTGCATGTCAATATCGTGCAGCCCTATTGCATTGCTAAAAGCAGTAGCAACTGTTCTGAAGCCAGAACTTTGTCTGTACTTGTCAAATTTTATAGATAACTGTAACAGGAACCACATAAGCGTTATATTTGAGATTTAGTTATTTAACACCTCAATGCAGGGTGAGGAAAGTGTGTGATGATTTAGGCATGCAGTTTGCACCATGCTAATAGGAGGCATAGACGTTTCCGTTACATGTAACAATCTGCTTTAGCTTTGTAGTTTTGGACACCAAACGCATCTTTGATGATGACTATGTTTGGGGTAACTCTGTAAATCTGATTTTTTTTACCAAACTATCGCTTTAAAGAAAGAGAAAGCCCATTTCAAAATGTATATCTACGAAGTATCTGTATACAGTCCAATAAAGACCAAAGGTTTTGCTGTCATTCCAGGTCAACAGCACTGGACACTACAGAAACCAGAGCCACAATTTCAGAAAACAGCAATACGTAGGATCAAAATGTGAGGGCCTAAATGTAGAACATCCTCCCATCCATCCATGTAATTACTTTCAAGTTTTGTGTTTTTAATTTTAGCATAATTAAAAATAAATAAATAAATAAAAAATAAAAATCACCGGAAGTTGTTTAAAGGCCATGTCTTCTGAAATGAATATCTATAAAGCATTCTAGATGGTATTTGCTAAACACTGATATGATTATTTGGTTCTAAAAAAAATGAATATAAAAGATTTGACTGGAATAAATAACCATTTAGGTTTTCAGTAGGAATAATCTACATGGATTTTTGTTCAGATGAAATAGTTTTATTTTATTTTTTTTTTTTTTATTTTTAAAGGAAATATTTAGGAAAACATTACAACTCTCTGGAAACCTGTAATCTTAAAAAGGAATGAATGTGACTAAATCCTGTAACAAATCTATCTGAAACAGTACTCACTCACACCGTGTGATGTGATGCTGTTAGCGGTGTAGTTATTCTTGTGGGAAGAGCATCAAGTTAAACAGCTCATTTTTAAGATTAGTATATTTTAAAGAAAGATCTGTATCGGCCAACATTGAAAGTTTCAATATCTATATCGGTATCGGCATTGGTTGTATCGTCACATCTCTACTATTATTAAATATTTACACTCCATTTGGAATTTCCAGTGGCAAAATATATATATTTTTTGTTTTTGACCTGGAATGACCTGCTGGACTTAATACACTCTGAAATAGCTCAGAAAGAGAAAAACAGGAGCACAGAAACCCCTTCCCGCTGGTTGCCATAGAAACGTAACCTAGTACTCTAACAGTCAGGTGTCCATTCTGAAGGTCACCACTTCATTGTTGCCATGGCAGCTATCGGAAGGATTTTCTGGCAACAGCAGCTGGGCTGGAATTCCTCCCCCCATCTTGTGGGCATGGGGTAGGCAGGTGCACCCAGCGCCGAACACAAAGCCAACTTCACCATCCCTGTGCCAGGGACTCTATATCACCTTCACTGCTTTGACTAACACCACTGATCAGCAGTCAGATAAAGGACTAGGGGATTTCACGTGTGCAGAGGCTGGAATTTGAGAATTAATATTAAAGGGCCCATATTCCACATTTGTTCTTGCATTTTACAGAGTTTGTGTGGTGTTATGTACCAAAACCCATCATAATTCATTTTTACATGACCATTTTCTAACCCCTCTTTGTCTCTTAGCATTAAACAGGCTGTTTTTCTTACTGTCGTTAAAGGGGAATTTCACAGATTTGTCCAAAAGTCTGCTAAATTAAATGGTGGAAATGTAAACCAAGTCAATCCAACCTATTCAGAATTGTTTACAGCAGCTGTGTTAGTATCCAGACGTCTGGAGCGTTTAATACCTCTAAATGCTACATCACTGAAAACTGCTACGTGAAAAGTTTATGAATTATGCCACTTGATGCCTTTGAGATGTTGTTTTATGATAGTTTTGAGATAGTTTTAACTTTTAGCTTAGCTTCAAACATGTTTTTAAACAATTCATGGTGAAAAGATACATTCAGGGTGCTGTAAATCAAAATAGTCCCCCAAGAAAAACGTATTTTTTTCTGGTTCCTATCACCACCTCTGGAAAGAAATCTGTCAGTAAGTTTCTCTTCAATGAACCATTTCACATCAAAATTTTCAAAAATCAGTGAACTTCCCCTTTATGACCAGATATGTGAATATATATTAAAAAGCAGTAAAGACTGAAATGTACAGAATAAGTGGAACAAAGTTCAATGTGAAACTACTGTACGCAGAATGTGCCGTCATATGTAAATAAGTTTGTGAATGTGACATCACAACCATGATGAATTCAAAACTGTTTACAACTGTTTTTGCAGGATATTATCTATATATGGACTGGTAAGTGAAGGGTACATTCTGAAACTTTAACAATGTTTTAACATCAAACCTTCAAAGAAAAAAAAACCTTTTTCCTCGATATGGGCCCTTTAATTTACAAGTTATTACGAGTATTCTTATTAATAAAAGTATAATTCTACTACCATTATGTATATTATACACAAGTCTCAGTCCTGTTTTGAACTGGGCTGAGAAAAACACAGGCGTAGACCAGACAGACCAGCCACACGTTATCTATAGTATTTATACAAATGAGTGATAAGAGAGCAGTGCAGCCACTTACCTAAACATCTCTGTCAGCTCTCCTTTCACCAGGGCCACCACCACTGGGAATCCTATGCAGGCTGGGACCAGGTACAGCAAAGCAGGCTGGGAACAGAACAAAACTCATCAGTAATGCTTGGCAAATTCCTTTTCCCCAGCTATTTTCTTAGCTTCTACATTTCTCACCTGAGCATGTTTGAACGTGTGCATGATAAAGATGGTGAATCCCAGGCCAAAGATGTAGGCAAAGAAGCTGGTGTAGAAGTACGTCCGTGAGTTGTTCTTCAGACTGTGAGGAGAAATGTGAGTGGAAAATAAACCTGTTTTCTCTTCAGTGCAATGTGTTTGCTATTTTACTAATAGAACATGAATTAAGAGAATTGAAAAAATATTTGGGGCTTCTTTTCGTTACTTTGCAAAACTGTCATAAAAGCAGTAGACACTTCAATGTGATGTTATTCACCATAACGCACAACCTCAAGTGTCTGCTGCTTTTATGATAGTTTTGCAAAGTAAAGAAAAATTTAAAAACAATGTTTGGGGCTTAAGTTCCAGCAGATTAAAGGTAAAGCCACCACTACGTAGCCACCAGTGGTCAGCAGAGTGATTCATATAGGATGGGGGTGAGGGGAGACATTTTTCAGAAGAATGCTTTTCAACCAATCACACTGTGCCACCAAGACTAGAATAAAATATTAGCTGGTCTGTAGGTAAAAAAGTATTTTGTTTAATTTTGGTTAATAGTATCAGGTTTCAGGAACTACAGCTAAAATATTAATGAGGTGACTAACATTCATGAAAGTGCATTGCCTCGATAAATGAATGAAATAAAATAAACAAATAAACATGAATAAATCCACGGTCCTAAACAATGTTTTAAATTAAGAGGATCTGAGAAACCTTACCTGACATCGAAGCGGAGCAGCAGAGCAATGAAGATGCCTGAGAACAAAAAGAAACATAGCCTCAGTGTCTGGATAAAGGCTTATTTATTTTTTTCTTTTTTAAAGTTTCTCCAAGGAAAGCTAGTCTGTGTGTTTCTGCTATAATTACCTAATTACTTCCTCTAAACATATGCTGTCTGACATATGCTATGTTTGATGGTTTTCCAGCAGATTTCAAAAGCTAGTACTCTGTCTGAAAATGAAATATATATCTATGTGCCTACACGCTTAATATGGACAAAATTCTAGTACTGTAATTATACTGCCACATACTGCAAATGTGATACACAATACAGCAAAAATGAACAGGTGAATCAGTAATGGGACATGGTTAATGACTGGACGGGGTTATTACAACCATCATGATTTACTTTTGTAGTACGAATTGAGATATTCGTTCACATAACTCTCATCAGAACACCCACAGAAACTAAACCTGACAGGTCAGTGATATCAGCATTGCTGTATCACATCATGACAACGTTTAACAAACAATGTGTCTGACCTACATGCTAAAAAGCATCAAAGCACATGACATGTCTAAAAGTACCTGGAATGACAACATCCCCCAGACCCAACATGGCAAAGTTACTGGCATCCAGCCCCCTCTCCAGCAGGTCCTGTGGGAAAACCACTGTGAAAACAAACAGGGAAGCCAAGTCAGGTTTTTGGTGAGTGTATTATAAAAGTCTAAAGAAGTACAAACATACCTAAAGGCTTTGGTCTGGCAACAACAAGCGATACAGAATATTATATATATATATAAATTCTCATTCTAGCTGTGCCACTGAGAAAAGGGTAAAAGGGGTCAAAGTTTACAGAGAAACAGATGGACTGCAGTCTGTAATTGTAGAACTACAAAGTGCATCTTTATGGTAAGAGGAGCTGATAAAATGGACTGAAGAATGAAGAAACACAGATTTGTACTTAATAAAGTGGCCAGTCAGTGTGCAGTCGCTGTAGGAATGATCTTGTATCTCCATTTTTGTCATTTTTACATTTTTATATAATATGAAAAACAACAACAACAGGCCTTTACACTATGTGAAAATTTAAAATTTCATGACAATTTCATGACCAATAGAAAGGGTCCAAAATTTTGAATGTTTTTTTTTCTGTTAAAAACAAAAAAAAAACATTTTGGAGACGTACGTTTTGCTTTTACAGAGACAAAATAAACAACAAACAAACAACAGAAATACAACTTGTACTCACACTTAATTGGGGCTTCAAATGACTTGGCAACTGTCACCATGACATTGGTGCCAAAGACCTAGAAGCAAAGGCAGAAGAGGATGTATTGATTCTGTCAAATGTACACAACACAGTTCATTTCTCAGCTCTGCAGAACAGGCATTTTTAAGTATTCTGTAGTAATAAACCACTTGCAGCTTCCAGTAATATTTCATTTCAGTAAGCAATTCTTAACAGCAGCATATTGTGCAGCAACACCTGTATGTCGGCGCTCATTACATACTGGCGTACATATTCAAACCCAGTTTTAGATAAAGCCCCATGAAGCGTGCTCTTGCTGTATTAAAGGAACTAATTGTTCATTAAACTATTTCAAACTTGGGAAAAAAAAGTTGGTAAACTCACCCAGAACACATCATACACAAACAGACCCCCCAGCAGGATGCAGCCAGTGCTGACGTTATTCAGGTGCAGGAGCTCCACTCCATTTAGAGCAAAGGCCAGACCAAACAGGTTATTGGCCACCCAGTGCTGTCAATCATAAGTACATAAAGATCACTGACCACAAAATGATTTCAAGTTTGCAGACAAAAACAACTGCAGATGGATTCCTGCAGAACAAACAGCAAACAAGCAGTTTTAGCTATATAAATCTGCAAGACTATGAACACACAATTCTCGATTACTGTAGACGTGTGTGTGTATGAGTACAGAAATCATGTAAGAGTCTGACTGAATTATGTTAATAACAAAAATAATAAAAATAATAATGACAATAATGACAACAACAACAACAATAATAATAATAATCATAATCATCATGTGAATTAAGTCTTCATGTGTTATGTCTTTACAGCAGTAGACACAGCTAGTCAGAATTATGAAACTAGTCAAATTATCAAACAAATCTACCAAGAAGGCAGATTTATTTGGTCTCGTCTGGCAACATGGAATGTAAACAGCATAGTGGATATCTTCTTTTATTATATTCCTATAATAAAAGTCTAACATTTTACTGTTTAAATGAACATAACTATACCTTATACTACTACTACTACTACTACTAATAATAATAATAATAATAATAAAGTTTTACTTAAATGGACTATTTTACTGTAATAGTTTAAACTGCGGCCCCCCAGTTAAAAAAAAAAAACTTTTTAAAAATGTGTTATGATCTATTTAAAACCACACTAACTGCAGTAATAAGCTAAATATATACCAAATCATCATTTATAGGGTATTTTCTATTGGGAGGTATCTGTCCCAAACCCTAACCCATACATTTACACTTGTGAAAAAATCCTTAACTTTTATCTTTTTGTTTTATTTTTATTATTATTATTTTACACTTAAAAAATGCTGTATATTTTCACGTCACTACAAAAACACAAAAAGTTTTAGTCCACAGGTGGAGTCTTATTTTAGCCTTGCATTTTAGTAGTTTAGTCAGACTGGCCATAGAGTTAGCAGTTAGATCCCACTGTTTTGAAGTAAATGTGTCCCGGAGTCTGAAAATCACTGTGGAACATTAAGAACAGCCACTATCAAAACATACTTAAGTCAACTTTTTTGTGTTTTAATGAAAATGTTGTGATTTCATGTGTGTGTGTACTAAAATTGCCGCTACTAAAACATTTGGTAAAGTTTGAAGTTTCAAGAAATGATTCCACTTTGTTACTGCCAAAACAGGTCAATGTTCAATCATTTATTTTAGTAAACGGAACATAATTAAGGTGCAGGGTCACTGAAAACAAAAGGATTTTAGTCCAAGTCAGTTTAAAGTCTGAAATGTGTTTTAAGCAGTAGTAGTACTTTTTGGTGCTACATAAAACCCTTTTCAAAAAGGTTCTATAAAGAACCATCTACAGGACAAAAAAAAAAACTGAGTGCATGGAAAAAAATTGGGCATCCAACAAACACTAAGGACAGATGGACCACCCTGCACTTAATGCAAGTTTTTTTTTTTTTAATATCCTGTACTGCAGACACTTGCATGACAAATGCCACACAGTCGGTGGTGGTCCAGTAAAACTTGCCTTGTCTTGTTGACCATATAAATTTCGATCCAACATTTTCCATTAGAAATATGCGGACACAGACACTTTTCAGAATTGCAGAGATGAGCTGTACCTTTTTAAGGACGTACCAGACGCCCACAACGCTGCTAATCCCCAGGCATATCAGGTCCTTGGTGTCAAACTCATAGTTGACTATTTCTGTGGAAGAAGCAGATCTGTTTCAGTGATCCAGTGAAACAATTCATTGTGTTCAACATATTAAAAATAGACTCGGAAAACTATCAGTTCACTCAAGCATGGATACTCTGGTATACCATTCTCAGTTTCTAACAGGGACATCTGCAGAGAATCACTCTACTGCTCCGAGCACAGCTTGTCACCACCATATGCTGCCGCTCTCTTTCTCTCTCTCTCATTTCCTGATCATAACCCTCACCTTCCCTCACTCTCTGTCTCGTTAATATCATTCATCACCTTGTGTGTTCCACTCTCTCACTCCAGTTTCAACACTGCTGACACCATTTCTCACACTTCACATGTTCTTAAACACATTACAGCTGCGACAACCATCAAAATATACTGTGTATTAAAATTATTATACTGCCATATTTGTTTATCCTTAAAGTGGAAAGCACAGTGAAAAACTCTCCTAGTTCATGTGAACAGCAGAACTGATATTCAATTTTATATTCACTTTTTCTAAAATAAAAATAGGTCTTTTTCTTAAATATGCAGACAATATTCTCATTCATATTCAAAGAGAGACAATCTTTTTAACACAAAACACATTTCAGTCTACAGATCTAATCAGACTGCAGAATTTCCCGCAGTCTCTGAGCACGAACACATTAAACGTATCTTTAAACTAAACTTTCACCACACTGTGAAAGCCATTTTCTTTTGACGTCAATCTTGGCCGAACTGCATTTGCTTGCTACTTACATCTTGAATTCTCATGTTTATACTTGGTGCTTTTTGCAAAAGCACTGATATCGGCTGGCTGCGTCCAAGTTCAGATTGGATTAGTTTATTAGGGGGACAGAGGTAATAAAATGTTTAATTTTTAATTCTCTTTTCCAGACGGGAGTAATGCTACCAGAGGACGAGCGAGTTTCTAGTGGGTTGTATTTTCAACAAACCCGGATGTTTGTGTCTAACAGTCACATGACAATAGAAAAAAACTAAAAGCTGTTAATAATGTTAATACAACTTAATGCTTTATATCTGTAGCTGCCATTATAATCACCCCTGTATTCACTTTTCTTTTTGACTTACATTTCTGATAGACTTTACTTCTTTCCTCCACCTACTCTCTGACTGTGGAGAGGATTGGGTCAAATCCAAACCCATTTTACCCCTTGCTCCTACCACTTAGCCTTTCCCCTCCATTTTGCATGTTCACATCTAGGTGTAGGGTGTCCCGATTTTGGTTGAGATAGAGGGGTAGGGCGATGTGTTAGGGCTACGTGGCCCTCCAAACGGAGGTTTTTCAGAGGCACACTCCAGACCGAGTGTTGGGAGAAAAAATCGAAAACCAGCAAGATGGCTGCGCAAGTGACCAAAGAAACCCAGAAATGTGTGAATTTTCTCAAATAAAAAATTACAATAACTATTGTATCATCTTAATTTAATGTCGTTTCAACGTATTATGGTCCTTTCCTTCATACCAAGCATTAAAAAATAAATAAATAAATAAATTCGCTATTAGTTTGCTGATGTCTCGGTAGCTAGCTATCTAAATTTCCTGGTCCACCATAAATGCCATTTAATGGGTGGAATGGGTAAATTTGAAGAGAAGCTGGTGAGTAGCTGATTTCAGCTTCAGATCACCACAGAATTAGGGGTGGGCGATACTAGGTAATTGTTGCATTCCCCCTCTTTGAAGGCATATGACTATCACTGCAGACTGGCAGGGTCACCTACAGAGCACCACTAGTGGCCTGTTAATTAAGTAATTTTCTTTTAGCAAAAATGCAAACTCAAATTGTAATTACATTATACATGATATAATGACAAATACACACGAAAAATACACAGAATAACTGCAGTAAATGTCAGAAGTCTTTATGTCTCCTAAATCCACCAGAGGGAGCTCAGCATAAATTATCAAGCGCCCCCAAAAATACTGCACAATTATCAACTTACTGTGCAACAAAGCATCTACATTCACCAACCGTTCTTAAGAAGAAATTTCTTTTTGAAACCCACTTACACAGTTCTTAACGAAGATTCGGACATTCTCCAATATCTTCTTATTTGGGATTTGTTCTTAGGTAAAAAACAGAATCTACACAATCTGATGCAGACTTTTTTCTCGGGACCCTTCTCAAGAACACATTTTTGAAAAAACTTAGGAAGATATTGGTGAATGAGGCCCATCGATATGGCCAATCTGAATGGACTTAAAGTCACAGAGTAGCAGCTGTAGAAGAGGACATTACCCCAAGACCCCAGATAAACAGAATCACACGCATATTGGCCTTTGGGTGGCTTTTTAATACTGTTAAACAGGCTTACATAATTAAACAGCAAAGTACTGTCTAAATTTGAAAATAACCCCACTGGTCAAAACTCTTGCCAACAATGCTACAATCAACAGTCAAATACAGTTTAATAATTGCTGAGAATTAAGACAGTCAATAGTTTGCTTTATCTAATCAACTCAATCCTCACCTTCTTTGCTCTCTCCTGATCCCTGTGTGAAGAGGAGCTGGTACTGCTTGTTGGGCAGATTGGCAGGGAAAACTCTATTCATAAAGGGACTGACATAAAGAAGAAAAGTTCATTAACGCTTTAACCTCATACTCTGCAGATTCAGAAGATCAGAATTTGGTAAAAGCTTCAGTTTTTGAGGATGTTTAAACCACGAGCAGCTCTTACCTCATCGTATGTGACAGAGCTAAAATCCCCAGCACGAAAAAGTACATCGATAACAGCAGGTTGATATACTCCTGAGAGAAAATCTGAACCACAAAAAGTTAAGAAATTCAGTTTTAGTGAGGCCATCAGTTAATCGAGATTCACATCCTGCACATGTTTTTCAGGTCTTAACACAGAAATAACCCACAGAGAAAGAAACCAGTTCGGTCCCGATTTCTAACTGTCAAGTGAAATATAAATTAAAGCAATTATTTCTGTGCTTTCTAATTCTAAGTAGGTCTGCTGTTACAGTCTTATGCAAAATACTGGACAGCCCAGGCCAAACTACACATTTGATTCATTACCTAATTGCAAATAAAGTAACATCCTCTAGAGGGATTCTGAGGTCAACATATTGGAAAAATTTAACTTCTCATACTTTTGCATGGGCCACATTTTCCCTGTTAACTCAATTGCTCTTAGAAAAATCAACAAAACGTCATTAGACCATCGGTGCCCTTTAGTCTGTATTAGCTAATAGAAGATTTATTCAACAGCCCTGAACAACATGAAATCACATTATGTTCTTTAGAAATAGCTACTTCTTATATAAACACTGAAAAAGGTAATGAGGAAAAGGTGCAAGAAAAAAAGTGATGCAATCACTATCCATGTGTAAAACATCATTTTAAATGTAGCTCATGAATAATTTAATATTTTGACTTTCTACAAAATGCATCTCTTAAAAAGGTCCCTTATAATGCATGTAAGTCCACATATGAAAACTAAGCTCATTTTGACTTAATTTTATGATACTACAAATCTAGAGGCCTCACAATGCATTATAACGTTGGGATACTGCAATATAAAACTCTAACAATGCGCATCGTTCTGTGCTGTCCCATTTCAGAGACGCTACAGGGTTTGTTACATTGATGAAAAGTAACTTGCTGTTTGTAAAGATAAAATGCCTGATTTCTACTTAAAGATGATGATTATGAAGGAGATGCTGCTCACCTTGAAGAAGAGATAGAGGCCAAAGAGAGTGCAGCTGGCAATGATGGGGAAACGAGCAGCATCTCTGCTGGTGATGGTCTCTGGCATGTCTGAGGAATTCTGGGAGAGACAGAGAAATAATACAAAAATAAAAAGCCTTCATCAAAGCAAAAAAATGGAGTACTTTTAAATACTACACACACAACTGTACTTACACTCATGTCCCAAAAAACCCACTAAAGCATCATTAGGTTCCTGATCTACTGACCTTATGTAACTCTTACACCAGTGTTAAAACAAGAACCATTAGGAACGGAAAGTAAGAGAATTAGAATGTAGAAGTAAAAGAATTAAAATGATTCCTAATAGCACATGCTGCAGTCATATTCATATTAAACTAAATCCACTACGGTGAGGTACAATGTCACATGCCAAACAATGCCGCAAAGGATTTCAACCACAAATTAAACTGTAGCCACAGTGGAATTATGCCTCAATAAAGTGGGTCAGGGTGGGGGATAGTGTGTCAATGACTCAACATGCTACAATTTAATATACAGGAGCCATCACAAATGAGTGCTTTCCTTCTGTTGAAGTCAAAGCAAGGTTCAGATTGGAGGTCAGCCTTTTCTATTGACAATGACCAGTGATCTTGCTTATAGAGTGTCTGCAAGTTAAATCTAATAAATGTAAGACTTAAATTAAAAAATACATTTGAAGTTCCATTCAAGTTTTAAGCATTCACATTACTTAAATCAGGAGAAAGAAGAAAACACGCTAAAATAGAGCTTTTTCACACCATATGTCTTTATTTATTAATGTCACACGCACACGCAATATGAAGATATGATGACATAGCAGATAATTCACTTCCATCCTCTGAAAACACATCCTTTACCAAGTTTTGACCAAGTTCTCTTTGAATTCTCTCTCAACGCTCTCACAATAATTAGCCTCATCACCGTGGGAAAGGGTCCAAAGTGCAATGTTACAAAACACTCTTACGCATGTTGGATGCAATTACACATTTCCACCAGAGAGGTTCTCCAAACCCAAAAACTTACATGGTGCAACTTTACGATCAAATATGCAGTGCTAAAACATAAAAATCTGTACCTCTATGAACATGTTGCAGTGTAGGCTAGCTTAACTAGCAATACATTATGACATTGGAATCGTATTGGTATCAGTAAATATTTGCTTAAACAAAAAGAAAGGAATCAGACAAATAAACCAATATTTCATGATGTATTTCTGTGTAATGCTAATCCAGGTAGATGTATTGGCATTTGCAGATTCCCTGACTATTCATATCGAGTGGTGTCAATTGTGCTCTGGGGGGAGACACGTAGCTGCGTTATAAAACCCAAAATTATACTTAAAACAACTGGCCACTGAAAAAACTTCAGAATAATTAAGACTCTTTAAGGACCTGCAGACACCCTGTTATAGTTCAACAGATCCAATGTGGCTCAGGATGGAGGTGCATGTTTAAGTCTGTTGTTGCTTCAGCACAAACTCCAGTGCAGCACAGGAGCTTGTGAAAGCAAATAGCCCTGATACAGCTTCACCTTCATTAAAATTAAGGCATGATAACATGATAACCTACTAAAGTCATATCAGGACCAGTGTGCAACCGGTTTTACAATCTTAGGTTTACTGTCTCCACCTTACACTGTTACAGCTGAGTGAAACTGAATTTGAACAATTTTCCACCTTTCCCTCAAATGTAGTCAACCACCCAAGACATATTTGGTGTCTGAAATTTGCTTTTTTGCATGCATTTGAGCTGCGAGGATAATGTAGCTAACAACTAATGGAACCTAATACCGCACCCATTTAAATATAGTACGGATAAACTGAAGGCTTCCGATTGGCTGTTAATATTGTTTTTAGTTATGTATTTTGTACTTAACCAATAGAACACGAGAGGAAGTGTGTTATCATGAAATAACATCACGGCTGTGATTTGGTCGCTGTAGATCATCACAGACGTGATGTTATTCATGATAACACACAACCTCGAGTGTTCTATTGCTTTTATACAACAGTTAAATAAATAAAGTAAGAAATTGGGCCGTGAATGTGGCATTTAATATGTTTTAATTTTTTCTGCCAAATTATAGTTCCTTAACAAGCAGCTTGTTGCTACGTCAGAGTAACGAACTCTGCTCACTCGCTGCACAGCCGGCAGTTCATTCTCCAGCTCCTTACACTAAATTCCGAAACTGTCATTACCACTGAGCAAGGTTTTCAGTTGGGAGCTGTGACAGAAGAAAATCTAAACAACCTGGAATTAGCCAGAAATGACCCGAATACCATTAGCCAAATGTGTAGCCTCATCTTCAGAGTCTGACCAAATTGGACTGAGCTATAAAGCTGCCGCAATATCAAGTTTAGCTTAGTTTTGTCGATTTTTGCTAGATAAATATTAATGTTGTTTTGTTCCAGCCAGTCTATAAAGCATTTTACAGCCCATTTTGTTATATTATTATTTTCCTGGCTAATTCCAGGTTGTTCAACTGTTGTTCTGTCACAGCTGCCAACTGAAATGCTTGTTCAGTGGTAATGACAGTTTCAGAATTTAGTGTAGTCTCATCTTCAGAGTCTGACCAAATCAGCTGTTGGTCAAATCTAATCTTAAAAGTATCCATTTTCTGTTTGTGGCAAAGTAAGTAGTAAAAATGTTCAAACAGCTTAAGCTGTCAAAGCATCAGCTTGCGTGGCTGGAACTAACTGTTGTATAATATTTAATAGATAACAGCATGTCGGCCACATAAGCAAGGCTATTTGAAATTACTTAACAACTTCAACAGTGTGAGGATGTGTGATGATTTTGGCACTGTGCTAATTGGTGGGGTATAAGCTACCACCACTTGTTAGCTACATTAGCCTCATAGCTCCAGTGCAAAACTAAAGAAGCAAACTTTAGACACCATACACATCTTGGCTAACCAACCACTTTTGAAAATAGGAGAAAATTGTGTAAATCTGACTTTTCGCTAGGGCTGCGCAATAAATCACATTTTTTTTATTATTATCGCGATGTGAGTTTTTACAATAAACACATCTCGAAGGGTTGACAGAACTGATCAAGTGCTGCATATCAATGGACAGGAATTAGTAGCCCAACAAGTGCTTCCTTGGGCTTAAACCCTGCTCTCCCACATAGAAAGCAAGCAACTTAACTAAGAGCCAGTTACATGTGCACACTTTAAAACATTCCATCCTGAACTTTTAGCCTTTAAAAATGCTTAAAACGTGATGTCTATTCTCACTCTCAGTGTTGTTTGTAAAGTGTATGGACAGTATGGTAAAATACACAGACAGTATGGGCCAATGAGCTTTATAAGGTATTAAACAGATTTTTTTGTAGGCCTACATTGAAAAAATATGCATATTTATTGGTGTCTGTAATTCCATTACAAGGAAAATTACAAAATTACAAGTTCTACAGAATAGAACTTACTCACATTCAGCAGGCTGAAAATTCTCCATAAGGGGGCGCCATTAGCAGTCAAATAGCTCTGTGCCCTTTAATATTAATTGTCAGTAACATTGTGTGCCCTCGTTCAGCCTTATGGTGCACAAAAATGTGCTTGTAGTTCTGTATATATTAGTGTTTCACTATTTTAATTTTGTAATAGTGAATGCTTTTGTAATTTTGTTTAGATTTTTGCTATGGACCTAAAAGTTAGGGTTTAAGTCTGTACTTGTGGCTCAGCCAGACAGAGGCACACTATTTGGTAATAATTTATTGCTTTACCGAAGATTACATTTAAAGCCCATATCGCACAACCCTACTATTCACTTCCACTTTAATATTAAAGTTTTGGAAGAGGCAGTTCTAGATCAGAATAAAGAAAGGACAGCTTGCACCCAGAGTCTTCTGAGAGATGACTGTAGGAGAAAAGGAAAGACCAGAACAGTCCATGACAGAAGACAGACTTCAGGTTTTCCAATAAACAGTCAAAAACAGAAAAACGTTTTAAGTACTAATGCTTAAAGCAGACCAACACCAGTCCTATCACTATTTAAAAGCTGGATGAGTACACATACGGTGAGCCACAGCAGCTTAGGAAGCTGAAACGGGGAAAGCTGGACGAAGCTTCCTCGTTTTGCTTTTACAGCCATCAAAACAAGCATCGGCCAGCAGATTTAAATAAAATTTTACTTCACACAACATTCACAAACTGCCCACACCAGGCCGTCAAAGCATCATAGCAATTCACCTGCACAGCGACACCATGAGATGTGAATGAAACAGATGTTAAGTAAGCAGAGCTTGGCTGTGCTATCAGTGCTAATACTCACTTCATAACCATTCTCAGCACCAACCTACGGACGAAATAAACGTACAGAGAAATGTTAAATCAGAAGCTTAAGGCCAGGAGGAAGTCAAACCAAAAATTAACTTGAATAAAAAAAATAATAATAACGATAAAAAGATGTATCAGGTCCAAAAACTCCTCCAGTACTGAGTGAGCTATAGAGTTGGAGAGGAAACTCTTAACTGAAGTGCGTTGGTCTAAAATAAAATGCTGAAGCTCCATTAATCCAGGCGCTGAACCAACACAACAAACAGAAACCCAAAAAAGAAAACAGGATCTACATGAAGGCGTGAAAAGGAACCACGCAAAAAAATAGAACCCATTTCGTAACAAATATACGTTTATAGAAAATGTCATGGTTTTCCAATTAAACTTGATTATTTGATTAATAAGAATGTACATTTAAATATATTTTATCATGAATTTAAATGTTTTAAAGAATTTTTTTTTCAATACTGTCCAATAAAATTCGAAATCTTTAAAAGATTGGAATCTTTGAAAGGATATGCATGGTTTGTCATTGTTCACTTATGTAATTTTTTTATTGTTTGGCCTTTTGAAAACTCCATCTACTCAATTAATTGTCAAAAAATGTGGTTCACTACTAATATTATTATGAGCATCAGTGAATAAATAGTAGAATAATAGCAGAATTAAAAGTATCCCTGTAAAACACTTTAGAGAAGTAAAAGTTCATCAAAATTGTACAGATCTGAACTAGTTACAACTCACCGCCGGATAAAAAAAAAAAACAAAATAGCATAAATTTAACATAATGGATGTGCCATGCCTTCAAAATAACACCAATCCAGCCATACATTAAGATCAGACAGGCAGAAGCTGGAGATGAATGAGCCACTTGTGAGCCTGATGCTAAATTGCTAGATCAAGATCTGTATTGACGTTCTAATGTAAAACTGTGCCATACACCATCATCACCACCATCATCCCCACCAAAGGCTTTAAAGACACTTAAAGACAAACTGCTGTACAAGACTCAGCACAGGTGCTGCCATATGGTTGTTTAGTTAGGTCCAAGATGGCCGCAGAGAGAAGGCGAGGGAACCCTTTTCCTGGTGTGAATAAGTATATATATCAAATACAGTACATATAAATAAAGCAACAACCTCTGTAATAATCACATAGCATTACATTTTTATAGTCTCTGTAATCTCTACCTTTCCTCCACATAACATTCCTGTAGTACTAGGGATGCACCAATATGGAAATTGTGGGCTGATATTGATCTGACACTTTTCATGGACAGATCTGCCAATACTGACACAAACATTTACAAGCTTAGAACTCAGAAATTTACCCCAGTTAGTACTATAGAGAAATATAGCATTCACTGCTGAGATAACAAATGCAGCTAAATTAATAAAACACTGACATTTTAGCAAAGGTGCCCGCCTAAATGTTGCACTCTTTCAGACTCATCAAATATTCAAAAATATGTCTGAAACATCTCTAAACATCTATCAGCTGTCGAGAATTTTTTCTTATAACAATTTCTGTCAATACCGATATGAGTCTGATATCATCGCCCATCCCTGCGTAATACTGTTTAACAGAAATCAATAATTGTGCAGCATCCTGTACTAGTGTTGTCCTGACTTACCACACATTTTTTCAGGAATCCTGTAGAAATTCCTGTAATATTATCCTTTCATATGGAGGTTAGGCAAAAAATATCCAATATAGGAGTTTTTCATGTATTTGGCTATTTAAGTTAAAGAACTAGACAGCTGTTGTGCAAGTGGGCAAACACTTGATAACAGCAGCCTGTAATAGTGCTGCTAGTAACCTGCAGCAGATTTCAAGCAAGAGCAACTATAACGTTACCAGGTCTGAATTCAATCCAGTGCGGGCTGTAATGGTGTTGCAATGGAGGATGATTGAGCCAACACAGCGGAGAAAAGCCTGGATGGTATTAGCGAGTCGTCTTTAACATTTCCAGTCAGAGTGGCTGTACTCGGCCCAGCTCTCAGATCTAAGCTGAACCCACCTTGCTTTTGGAGCTGCTGACGGAGCGCAGCGCGCCGAAGAAAATGGGCAGCAGGGCCATGAGCACCAGGCTGCCGTACGCCAGCGCGGTGCCCTCGGCCGTGGCCACGAACTTAGCGGCGGTTCCGTTCAGCGCGTCCGTGTCGTTCGCGTCCTGCAGCGGGGTGCCTTCAGTGGGCAGCGCGGCGGAGGATCCCTGCTCAATATCAGCCATGATGGGAGAGCGTGTGCGTGTGTATGAGTGTGAGTGTGTGTCAGAAACAGAAAGTGTGCTGTACAGTTAGTCCGGAGCGCCTGATCACAACCACCTCGGCGCTTCTCTCTCCGGTAAGGCCACGTTACCCTAAGAGCTCTCCGGGAAACTGAAGCGTTCTTCGGCTCCGTGTTGAGAAACAATCGCAGTACTGCCACCTACCGCAGTGGCATGTAAAAACATGATACATACACTCTTTAGGAAGAAGATGGTTATTCAGTAAAGAAAACGGTTCTCTTACGGAGACCTGTTGCTGACATCCCATATAAATAAAAATAATGCGTGACCGCGCCTTACTAACGAAAGCCTAATGTGTGGCCACGACTTAGTAAGGCGGGGGAATTAAGTTGTGGCCACACATTAGGATCTCATTCCCATGCCTTACTAAGTCGTGGCCACACATTATTTTCATTTATACAGGATGTCACCAACAGGTCTCCGTGTTCTCTGTAGAACCATGAACACTCCAAGAACCGATTGAAGGATTAAAGGGTTATTTTCATCATGAAATAGTTCTTCACATTGACGCAGAATGTGTGTTCTGCTATCGTACCAATGTCAAGCTTGTAACAATAGAAGAACGCTTTTTGGTGCTATATGAAACCATGTCCAAAATGGTTCTACATACAGCCGTCTATAGCACATTCTTCATCAATCTAAACGACCATTTGCAAAGAACCCTTTTAATCAAGCAATGGGTTCTTTGAGTGTTCATGGATCTATGTAGAACAATTTGCTTTACTAAAAAACCCTTAAAGAATCTTTTTTAAGTGTGTAGGTATACTGGGTGTGCTCAACAGCTACAGCCTCTCCTGCTGGAAAAACAGCATCAGAACCAGTAGGATTAAAACCTGTTGGTTTTGCTTTCTAAATAAGAAGTGGCTTTAGAGACCAAGAGTTTTCTGTAGGACACCTTTAGATCCCATTAAGAAGGCCATTGCAGAAGGCCTGTTGAACCTTTAGAATCCTTTACACTGTGACATCAACCCATCAGGAAAACCTAAAACACCATTAGTGACTATTAAACACCAGCAGACACTTTTAATGGTTTCTATGATTTTTTCAGCAGGGGACAGTTCAAAAACAAATGATGTCCTGTAATAAAACATGTTCTCTGCTACATACTAAGTAATACGTGTTTTTTTTTGTTTGTTTGTTTGCTGGGAAACATATAATATTCAGTATCTAGTACACTGAACATCTGGACTTATATGATGAACATATTTATTGTCACCAATATAACAAGCATTGAACTGTTTCTGAGTTAACTAAAAATACAGAGACATAAAAAAGTTTGTGAACTCTTGGAAATATCTGGACCTCTGAATGAACGGCTCCTAAAATGTTAAATACTTTTTCATTATAATTTTTATATCACAATAATAAATAAAAACACAAACTCAAAAGCATATACACTGATTAACATTACTATATCTGAAATGAACAAATTGTTGAAACAATCGATGGCATTACATTAGCTATATAAAATAGATTTATATGTAATGTTACACATAATACATTACATATTTTCTATGTTAGTCATAGTCTATTATCCCGATGGTAATAAATATGTTCATGTTTCACCTTGCAGATGTGCCTAATTCCAATGTCCGGTATTCTGGACAGTAAAATCTATTGAAATCACTAAAAAACCTCATTAGTCTCAACTTCACAGAACATCATTTACTGTCACTCCTAAATAAACATAGGATTAACAAAATAAACAAAAATCTCCAATGATTGTGTGTTGTGTCATGAGTCTTTTATACTAACTGGACTGTATCTCAAAATTGTGTATAAATGAATATCTACTATTTCCCTATTTACCTTTCACATGAGGGAGCTTCTTCATGGACACATACTAAAACATTTCTGAAGTAAGTGCAGAAAAATACAGAAACAGTGTTTCATTCAGTCTTGGAGGCAGTGAGCTTCTTGCGAAATGTCATGTTTGTTTTTCAAAAAATAAAAAAGAAAACATCCCATTAAACAATCAACAAATACATAGACTGAGTTCTGTAGAAACACAGATGACAGGTGACAGACAACACCTGGGAACAGACAATACCTGGGAAAAAACGTCCAGACCACAAATTTCTATATTCTGTACATTTATTAGTATATTGAGTACATGAATTACTATATCAAGTACATATATTACTATATTGAGGCCACAAAGTACTGTTTTGAGGATACATAGTACTATATTCAGTAACCATATTTCTATACTGACACCACAAATTAATATATTGAGGCCACGAGTTATGAGAAACTTAACTTATATCCTAAACATATTCATTTGTGGCCTCCATATATTAATTAATAGCCATGCCTTATTAAAAAATAATCATCGTGTCACCTTAGGGGCTCCGTATAACGTAAAGGTTCTGGTCGTAGTCGCACTGTTACTCGGTACCGTATCGAACAGTGGCATCGGCCCTGACTCTCAGGCGCACGTACAGGATCCCTCCGTCCTGCCGCATGCGTCATCAGCCTGTGTGTGAAGATCCAGTTAAAAGGCTTTGAAGCCTCGGGGTAGATTTTTAGAGAGGATTCCCCTCTGCTGTCCCGCAATGGAGGCCATGGAGACGGACATGGATCTGGATCTGGTGCAGAAATTCAGCTGCATGGGCACGACGGACAAGGACATTTTAATCACCGAGTTTCAGAGGCTGCTCGGGTTTCAGCTCAATCCCGCCGGCTGCGCCTTTTTCTTGGACATGACGAACTGGTGGGTGCCGCGGTGTTCAGCCTTTACCAAACTCAGCCTTCCAGTGAAACAGCAGCCCGCTCTGCTAACTTAATAGAAAGTCTTACAGTAAGAAATGTCGTTACATATACTGTGCCACATAATGTCTTCATTTGTATTTTAGTCGGTTTGGGCTTAATTAAAGCCATTTCTTGTTTGTCCCTTTCCAGTTAAGTGTTTTGAAATGTTTTAAAGTCTGTGCATGGTTTGTTATTGACGGGGCTGAAGTCGACTTCTAATTTGCCAGCTTCTTGTTCGAATATTCCCGTTCCACCTTAAATGGTGCAGCAGTCACATGTAAGTGAAGCACCATTTAAGGTGGAACGGGAAAATTCCAACCACAAGCTCACGAATAGGAAGCCAACTTCAGCCTCGTTTGTTATTGTCCAGTTAGCTAACGCTGGCTAGGGTTAGCTAACTGACAAAAATTCGGGTCGTTAGCTAAATTAAATTTAGGTACTTGATAAAATAGTGTTAACAGTTGCACTTGTCTCCGACGTGGCCACAGATATGTTTACTGCCCACTGAATAAAATTCTTAGTTTTTAATGTTTCTTTAACAAATTGTGTTAGCTAACTAAGATTAGCTAAACTGGCTTTACACAGCGTCCCACTGGTTAGCTAGCTCGGCTAACGTAAACTAAGCGGCTAGCTGCTAATGCAAGCCTTTGCGATCTCCGTTTTATCTACACGTTGGTGTTTTAAACTGGTCGATATTGGCAAGATAAGCAAATCATGTCTCTAATTTTAGTCTAAAACTATAGCTGTGTGGAAATATAATCATATTGAGTCCCAACTTGTTGCTGGCGACCAGCTTTCCCCATCTTATTCAAACAATTCCGTTCTACCTTAAATGCTGCAGTTGCATTCTGCCAGCTGTCCAGCGTCCCGCCTGTAACTGCTGTACTATTTAAGGTGGAACGGAACCTCGCGGCGTCCTAGCAGATTGCTAACGTTACCTGTAGCTATTTACATAAGCAAGTTAGAACAGCTTACAATCGTATGCAAAGGTTTGTGAACCCCTAGTCAAATTACGTGAAAATAAGTACATATCATCTACAGAGAGCGCATTTTAATGCGCAGTTGTTTTGTTTATTTGTTGAATTTAAAAAAATTACCATACTGGTTTGCTGAATTTTACAATATGTTAATAACAGATAGAAATTATTCTTTACAATTTGCAGAATAACATGGCTTATTTAAATTTGTTTGCTGTAAAGGATTTGTTAACTTTTTACTTAATGCATAAAAATAAAAAAAAGAAAGAAACGAACATGTAATATGACCAAACTTTTCCATATGACTCTGTATTTCAAAATATGAGTCACCCTTGTTGTATTACATAATATTTGATCAACGTTTTGATATTTTAACAGGTAAGGTTATTTTGCTTGTGTAAATGCTTCATTTTTACAGGTCAGCATGACTGATAAATAACACGTTACTCAAGAAACATGTTTTCCTCCATAATTTTTAACAGCGCCTATTAGAAAACTGAACTGACATGTAAATGTATTGTATTTATATGTAGGTCACAATATGTACCACACAAATATAGACATTTTATTTGTTGTCCAAAATTATTAGTGACCTTGCACATGCCCCCTGAGGTTCTATTTGTATTGTTGAAAGTGGTAAATGGGCAAAAAAGGGGAACAGAGTTTTCTTTGGGTAATGACTTTGTAATAACTTTCTGTGAGGTAACTTTTAGAGGCATTAAACACAGGTTCCTATCACCGCCACTGTGAACAGTTCTGACTCTGAATGGAGCATCATCAGACCACTCTGATTAACTTTGTTTACATCTTCATGATTTAATTACACAGACATTTTAAAAAGGCAGTGAAAGTCCCCTTGTTCTTTATTGGAAGGTGCAATCATTAAGCTACATTATAAACGCACTGTTACTGTAACGTCAGCCCATCGGGCCGTTTGAGATTAGATAAGCCTGAACAGTCGAGGAATTTGACTCTATATCAACACGTGTGTGTGCCCACTGACCGTTGCCGAAGATTCAGTCTGTTCCAAAAAGGGAAACTACAGTTTTGAGTTTTGCATAAAGTTGTCTCATCAGCTGTGAAATCTTAATTCATATTCGCCTTTATGTAAAAAGCTGTGGCCTTGGTTACATCAAAAACCTCCAGCTAGACATTCAGTATTGCATGAGCCCTTGGAGTAAATGGCAAATAAAACTTTAATAATGTTTACATGCTACAGCAAACTCTCTTAAGATAGCAATGAAAATGGTTTTGCGCAATATGGGCCCTTTAAAACCCCTAACTGCTCTCTCTCTCACAACAAACAGAGCCTGATGGACACATCTGCTTATGCTTTTTGCTGCATAGTATTTTTTATCTTTTTAGGTCTTGAAAAGCCTTTTCAAAATTACCGTACAATCTTCAAAAAACTACATATTGAGTTCGGTAACTTTTATTGCTTGACATTTTTTAAAAGACTCTCATTACTTAATTAACCATCAAAATAATTAGTAGATTATTGCATTACTAATATATTCAATACAGATGCTGTTTTATCATGTGTTCAGTGTTTTTGTTTGTTCAGCCCATTTAATGTTATGTTTTATGCTAACATACTTTCCAGGTTTCTGAATACAGAAGTTTTCCAGAGATTAAATTTTATTGTTTCATTCTTCTGTAGGAACCTGCAGGCTGCGATTGGAGCTTATTATGACTTTGAGAGCCCCAGCATTACAGCTCCATCGATGTCTTTTGTGAAAGATGTGACTATTGGAGAAGGAGAGTCCATTCCACCAGATACACCTTTTACCAAGACCTGGAGGATACAAAACACAGGTATCGCTTTTAAAACTCACGATGACTCAAGGTAGATTCTGATACAGAGCTTTTCAAACTAGGGTCTTAAAACTTTTACCTCCTGGAAACACAGGAACTCAAATATTGTAGAAATTAGGGGTGTAAAATGCAATGTACCATATGTATTGTAGCAATGTATCATGATCATTATTGTACAAAACTCTGTCACATTGTGTCATATGTTTTTATGTGTGTATTGTAGATATCATCAGTACTTAAAGAACACAGAACAACTGCGTGTTTCATTACAAAGAAAGAAGTGTTTGTAGTGAAGCACCAAAACAAAAATCCCTGGCCGAAACTGAAATAAGCAGAACAATTGCAGTTATGTAAAATGTAAAACATGTAAACATAAAAACTATGAGGTGATAAAATCCACATTTCCAATGGATAAAATCTGTATCAGTATTACAAAACTGTGCTGACAGTGTATAAAAACAGTTTAAAAAACATTATAACAGTATGTAGGGTACTGAGTGTGCCCATGAAATCCATTGTCGGTCATTCAAAGCAAAGAATTCAATTTTTTAATTTATTCTTTGTGCTTTAGCTGCCATTTATAATTTTTTTTTTTTGTCATTTCAACAACTGTAGCTACAGATGGTGTTGGCCTGCCTGCAGGAATGTTCCTTTCAGCTTCTGTTGTTTTCCTGTTTGCTGCGTGTCGAGCAGGATGTCATTCAAGTATCAGAACTGTAGTGGAAAAGTCCCTGTACAGTCTCTTCATACCCGGGATGAACAGTGTTTATAATTGCTTGTCTGACGTTTCTTATAGAATGTGAAATAGTTCCACTCAGCTGACTTTTTTATTCACTGTTTATCTGCTGCTGCTCAAAGTGTTTCAACTGGTCTGTGCTGACTGTGCAGGAGAACAAAGGGGGAATAAAACAGCTTTTTAATCAGTGTTAGATTTACTCTGTGTTTAATCACATTTGGATTCTTTGTTGTGGTCCTGTGTTTGAAATGTTTCACTGTTATCAACAAATGTTTCAGTCGTGAAATTTTAATGCACCTCTAATAATTATCCTGTTAAATTATTTTTAGTGCTGTAAAGTGTTGGAAACATTGAATTAAAATCATTGTACTTTGGCAGCATTTTTTAAATGTAGCACTACTGGTACCATCACAATGCGTACTGTGTATCGTGAAATGGTCTTGAAGTATCTTTCTGAATTATCTATTTTTGCCACATCACTCACCCCTATTTGGGGCTGACATGTTCTTATGACTCATGACTAGCACATTAGATGAAGGGCACTATAAAGCACAGCTTTTGTTTATTGTTTCTGTGCTGCTAAGGCACACATCTGAATGGATCAGACAGAACTCCACTGTGCCACTCTAAATTTTTAATATTGTACTTTTATGATGTGAAATGCTCCAATATGAAAACAGAAGCATTAACATTGACATTAACTTGTCAATATAAATCATTATTTCATGGTGTGTACTTTTTTTGGCATAGATGGAATTGAGACACCACCGTATTCCACCCAACCAGATTTCGAATTTACTGAATCATTACATCCCTAATTGCAATTTTAGTTTCATTTGATCTTGTAATGTTTTGATAAAATGTTTCCAATTTGAGATGCTAGCCTTGCAGAAATGGCCCCTGCATTTGCCCACATAATTATGTACCTTTTGTGCTGCAGGTTCAGAATCCTGGCCACCGGGAGTGTGTCTAAAGTACATTGGCGGGGATCAGTTTGGCCATGTCAACTTTGTAATGGTACGTTCACTGGACCCTCAGGAGATGTATGATGTCAGTGTGCAGATGCGCAGTCCTGTTGCTCCAGGAATGTACCAGGGACAGTGGAGGATGTGCACAGCCACGGGACTCTTCTACGGAGGTATTCTTAAGCATATAGAGGAACATAGAGGCCTTTCTGTGGTTATGTAGGGTATTAATTGCAGGATTCAGAAATGACTGAAGGGATTTTGCCCACTTCTACTGTGCCCTTGGGTCACTCCATGGGTAATCTGAGTCTCACACACTCTACCCACAGAGGTATACGAACAACGTGATCTACTGTATGCTAGAATGGAAACGACTGTTTGGGATTTAGTCATTTTCATTACATCATGGTATCACACAGGCCAACAAGTCGGTGATGTTCTAACACGTTTTTTAGGGAATTTCGGGGAAGAACGTTGGAAACTGCCTGCGCCACAAAGACAGGAAATGTATCAACATTTGCAGTCTTAACGAGTGCCTGCACACCTTTGCTAAGTTCTGAAATATGTCACCCAAGTGTGTACTTTAAGAAAACCACACAGTACAACATTAGCTCCATTTCCATCCAAAGGATTTTATGTGCAAAAATGTTGTCAATGTAAATTGTCTGAAAAAATTTTATGACTGATGTTTTCCGTTCAATTTTAGCAGATAAATTGGTTAATGATACCTGCAACATCACAGAAACGTACACTGGAAGCTTTTGATTTTTTTGAGAAAATAAATTTAGTGTCATGACAGATTTTCGTCACATTCTTTGTACAAAACCTATTCCAAAAAACAAGTAGATAAAATTCAGATAAAAACAGAAAACAGGCAATACACTGTGACCTGTATTTAAACAAAAACAATACAAAGATAAGATAATTTAACGTTTTATTTGATCCGCTTTATTGTTTCTTTAAATGTACACTCATTCTGAAATTGATGTCTGCAACATGTTCCAAAAAAGTCGGGACATTCATTGATCATTTTAGAGAAACAGAAATTGTGAGGTGTAGCATAAGCCAGTCAGTGGACTCAACAATTCTGTGTAAAAACTTTCTGTGAGGCAGATTTTAGAGGCATTCAACTCTTTAGACAACTGGTTCCAATCACCACCTCAGTGAATGATTCTGAGTTGGCAAGTTTCTCCAGAATGGAGCATCAGACCACACTGAATGACTGTTTGTGTCTTTATAACTACGTTTACACGTAAATTGTGTGGAAATTTAGAGTTCACCTTTTAAAGCATTCTCTCACCTTTATTTCTTTTGCTGCAGATATTATATGGGTGATCCTGAGTGTGGAGGTCGGGGGCCTCCTGGGTGTGACGCAGCAACTGTCCTCCTTCCAAGCCGAGTTTAACATGCAGCCTAACCGCGACGTCCAGAAAGACTACAACCCCTTCGCCTCCCCACAGAAGAACAAGCAGAGTGGTGACCATGGCAACAGTCTCCCAGATGGCGGCCTTAAAGACCCAATGCAAACAGAACAGAATGGACTGTCGAATAGCTCTGTAACTTTAGCACCAGACAACATGCAAAACAACTCATCAGTAGTTTCATATGATCAGGTGAGTTCAGCGGGCTGGAGACAAATTAGATTGGATTTATAGATGTTAGTGGCCTTGTCTCTGTCTTTGGAAGTGTGGCCAATTATCGGGCTTGTTCAAGATGAATTATGCTTGCTTTTATTCCAATTAAGCAGAGGCACACCTGATTCCGCTTGTTTAATCAGTTGGTCTCAATCTTCAGACAACTAGGCTGGGTTTCCCAAAAGCATTATAGCACAAAGATGTTTCCTAAATGGTAGAGCGAGTATCACAGTCTCTCTGCCAGTTGAGATGATCTTAGCATTAAGATCTTTTTGGGAAACTTGGCCCAGATTGGTTGTGTGAGGTGTGCTTCTGCTTGGTTGGAAAGAAAATCTGTGACCATGCTGACCATTTCTGAATCACGTTAGTGACTCCTGGTCTACCCAAAAAGGACGAGGCTCGTAAAAACAGACATGCATTGTTTCGAGCCAAGCTGTGATCGATCTGCACAGTGCCACGTTAAGTTGATCAAGCCTATTGTGTTGACTTGTCATGCGGGGCCACTACACTAAAATGTCTTCATTTTATTCATTTATTTATTGCATGTGCTACCCTCTAGAAATAAATATTGTATGTCTTTGTATGTAATGCAGATGGATCTACTCCCAATTTCTTTTTTTTTTATCCTCATCAGCATTAGCATGGATATGTACGTGAGTATGTCCCAGAGTAGGCCCCATATTTTGCATTTCTATTGTTTTCCATGAAGTTATGTGGTAAAAAGTTAGATATTTAAGTGGTTAAAGTATGTACACCTTACATGTATGGATGTACTGATTCACAAAATTCATACATAAAATACAGCGTTGTCTCAATTCAATGTTTTTTGATACAGCAGAAATAGGGAGTCCTTGAAAATCAGCCTTACGTTAATGTTTTCATTTTTGGTTCATTAGAGCATCCAGCATTATGAAAGTACAGCATATTATAATAATGTGCTAAACACAACCTAATTTATGCTTATGAGGAGGGTGCTTTTCCTCCTTGCTCTCAATATTGAGGTAAGAAGGAAGCGATACTGTAAGAGGAGGGAGGGTCTGTCCTCATTGTGGGCTTGTTTAATTATTATTTTGCAACATGCAGTATAATCAGTATCAAAATGAGTTTGTTGAATGTATTGTTCAGTACATGTGTGTTGAATTGAGAGGCTTGTATTGAAAGATATACAAGAATACAATATGTTGTGTTGTTTCACTCCTAATTGCAAGTTCTTCTAACTGAAGATGTTCTCTCTCTGTTTATTTCAGCAGCCTACGTATGGACCATACCCGTTTGGAGATTCTTAAAGCAAGATGTTGATCATTCAGTAATGAATGAAACTGTGGCCTTGTGCTCACTCTGTCTGGAGGGAGAAGCATAACGCAGAATTCTTAAAGACACTTTGACGAACTGACTTCCCCTCCCGCCCCCCTGGCACCATCATCATTATAATGACCAGGATTTTGTTATTTAGAGTTTTTATACCCAGGGATTTAATAGCGGCCCCCCTGAGTATGCATGTGTGAATGCTAATTTAAGAGGAGTGCTTGTAGAATCAATTTTTAAGAGAATTTTATGAGGGAGGGGAAAAACTTCCTTTTCTTTGTTTTATTTGACACTTTTAATGGGAATTCCAGCCTTTCAATTCAATCACTGAGATGTAAACAAAGTTGTTTGGTGTGGTTTGATATTTTTTTTTGTTTTTTAAACAGTTTAATTTACTATTTAAAACCATTGATGAACGTAAACGTGTCGTCTGACTTTTTATGTGTTCATACTGATGATGGTAAAATAGGAAGGAATCGTTTTTCTTTGGGGACTATTTTGGCTCATAACACTGTGCATGTACCACTCCACCACAAATGGATTTTTAAAAAATATGTTTTAGGCCAAAATCTTGGTACAACTTTACAATAAGACTGTCCTTAAAAAGGGTTTATGAATGGTTTAAAAGTAATTTAGTTTAGTTTGTATAGCATAGTTGGTTATATCAATGCCCTCCACAAGGCAGACTGGGGTTCAATTGCCCTTGCCCTGGCTAGGCAAGCACACTGTGCTATACCAGTAGGAGTCCTTGGGCAAGACTTCCAGCACTACATTTGCCTGCCTCTGTATCATGATTACAATTGTAAATCGCTCTGGATAAGAGTATCTGCCAAATGCTGTAGATGTTATGCAAATGATGAGTGATTGAGAAGAAAGTATGAGCAACCAGCAAGATCTGAGGTTTAACAGTGTAGCTGAATGTGGGCTTATTATTAGGCAAGCATCAGGCCACTGTTGCCATTTTTATGTGTTGTAACTGCTTATTGTGATTTTTAAGGTGTGTATGACCTGATTAATGACTATTAAACTCATCTACCTTTAAAAGGGCAGTCTTAGTCTTATTAGTGCTACCAAATCTTGTCTAATGACAATATCTCAAGCATGAGGCAACATATTCATAACCATTTCATGTAATAACTTCTTGTGATGTCACTTTTAGAGGCATTAAACTCTTCAGACATCTGGTTCATATCACCACCGCTGAAGTTTTTTTGGAATGCCCCATTTCATATCAAACCGCTCTGAATTACCTTGTTTACATTTTAATAAGAATTAGAAATGTTGGTGGAATTCCCCTTTAATTTCCAAGCTTTCATCAGAGACGATGATGATAATTGCCAGTGAGGGTTTGTACTAGGATAAGGTCAACCGTTTGATGCTACGCTTACTGTTTTAACTCTCTGGTAATGTAATAGCTCAATGGGGGTTACATGAACCATGCTTCACTCACTGGCAAACTGCATTGACAATCAGGTTGAATATTCATAGTGGATCGAAGGAACGTTCAAGTAAGAACCATTCATTGCTGTGTTACAAAAGGCTGGCAACTTGTTTTAGGCCGGGGGGTGCTAAGAGTTTGCTTGTGCAAAAAAAAAAAGTGCCACTGAGGAACAAGCCATGTGAAACAATTTTGTTTGGCTTACTCATTTACTGATCTTTACTTGAATTTCTATTTTTTTCCCTGTTTGAATTTGATTAGTGGCAGTTTTGATAAAAAGAACAATAGGCAATGCTACACTATTATCAGCACAGTCTGAATCACTGCAGAATGATCTGTCTGGGTTCACTGCAGACATGCTGTTGTCTGTCTTACCAGCAGAGGGAGCCAGATACAAGAAAGTTAAGCTGGTAGGCTTGAAAAGAGCTCCTTGTTTGACTGTCTTTGCTGTGTGATACTGCATTTATTTCACTTAATCCCACTGCCTAATACTTTGCATTTAAATGTAGTTTTATTTATTAGATGAATGCTGATTGCATTTGCTGAATGTAGTTTACTGTTTTTATGAAGTTCCGTTGCTGTCATTTCTGTAGCCGTGCAAGACTGACCCAGGGAATTAAAGACTTACTTAAGCTTTTGAGCTTCTAATGTTGTTTGTTGCTATGATATAGCACTGTGTAAAAGTGAGAGACCACCCTTCGTTCAGTTCACTTCCAGTCAAAGCAGCCATTGTGTAGTCAAGAAGCCCTCACAGAGAAAAGGAGACAGACACATCAAACAAAGAAGCTGCTGGTGTTCTAAAAACAATAGACTGACCAACCCAGAGTTCAGAGCTCAACAACACTGACTCTGTTTAGGATTACCTGGATTGTGAGAATCAGAAAATGCAACCAACTTCTAAGACTGAACTTTGGGGGTGTGAAAATATATGAAAGCAAGTCTCCTGAAAAGAATAAAAGCTGTGATAAAGGCAAGAAGTGGACAAATTAAATATATGTTTACTGCCTTTTTCTCCCAACGCTAAGAAATGATTTGTACTTAATGGTAATTTCGACTGGAAATGAAATAATTGATCGGAGGTCTCTGACTTTTGACCAGTGCTGTGTATCAGGAGGTATGAATGAAGTGCTCTTTCTGGATGTTACACCCACACTCTGTATTGTCATTTTAAGAGCTCAAGTGTTTAGTCCACACACTCATTTTGAACTGTAGACCCTAGATTTTAATGTGCACTAATCACTTTTGCAAGTTATCCATGTCACTTTATCTCAGCATTATTTCTGAAACTGATACAGATACTGAAAACTTTTTAAAGCTGTTCAGTTAAGATGAGTTTAAAGTAGGCCATCATACTGAAACTGCTCAAACTCTCTACTACCCACAAGAGGAAGTACAGAGACAACAACATACATGAAACATGAAAGTGCAGATTTTTAATACAGTTGAAAGCTGGATTTGTTACAGGATTGAATGTATATTTTTTTCATCCAATATCCAGTCCAGCATTTTCTGCAGATGTTGGATATTGAATTGGTGTTGAATACCACTGATTTTTCAAACTTTCTGCATAATTTGGTTGTTGAATAGTAAACAAAGTAATTCAGAAAGGTTTGATGTGAAGTGGTTCAATGTACCGACTTAAAGTTCTTTACAGTGGTGGTGATGGGAACCAAATGTCACAAAATAGCCATTTTATTCACTATCCAAAATGACCAGTGAACCTACATGTGTTTTCTGAGTTCTTATATGTAAAGCTCATGATGGTAAAATAGTGAAAAAGTTTTCTTTGGGTACTAGTTTACCTTATACTGTAAAAATAAAACTTATCTCAAAACTATTAAAACAATGTTTAAGGCATCGGGCAGTCTTGCATCATTTCATGTAACAATTTTCTGTTAAGTAACTTTTAGCGGCATTAAACTCTTCAGACGTCTGGTTCCTATCACCACCACTGTGAACGATTCGGACTCGGTCAGTTTCTCTAGAACGGAGCACTTTACACCAAACCACTCTGAATGACTACATCTTAATGGATGAATTATGCAGAAATTTTTAAAAAAATGGTGGAATTCCCCTTTGAGGCACCACTGGCATAAACATTGGGGTTGTTGGCCAGGGCTCACCAGCTGGCCCAGAGTTTCATATACACTTATATAACCAATAACAATAACACAGAGAGTTTGCACTGAAGTCCCTGTAGTTACTGAATAATAAGCCTTAGTATGTAATACATCTGGGATTCTAAGGAGTTAATGCCTAAGAACAATCACATACACCAAACCACAGCGAATCAGAGTTTGACAGAGTTTGACAGGGGATTTGATGCCTAGCAGAAGTTTTAACCGCTCTAGAACATTTGATCATTGTAGTTAAAGTGTAGATAATGGAAATGCATTAACTGAAATAATGTTTTACAGCTTAATCTCTATTTGCTGCATCTGCAGAATACAGTTGATTACCACAGATGATACTTTTGACAAAGTTCCCTGAACGTAGTAAAAGAACTGAAAAAAAAACATTTATTTGAAACATATTATAGTACTGTGCAAAATTTAGAGCCCCTCCTTTATGTTTCAACAACACAAATTTACACAGAGGCCTCAACAACTAAATATCATTTTTTCAGTATATATTGTATCCACCTTTTGCCTTATTATTCTATTCACTGATCCAACGGAATTTTCCAAAGTCAACACAGCTCAGGCATAACTTGGGTTGATCTGATAGCTTGTTTGTTTTCTTCATGATGAACTTCCTTGTGTTAGTTGCGGTTTGGATGCTTCCTTTGTCTGGAGAGCTTGTGGTCTGTTGTCTGTTGAGCAGGGCTTTTGCAAAAGGCAAAACAAAATAAGGGGGAAGGCAAAAAGAAAGAAATAGTAAAGATCAAAAAATAAATAACATTTATCACAAGTAATGGCCACCACAGGTACATTCATCACCTCAGATGAAGAGATGGCTGTGTGTTATGCTTGGTTGTGTCATGTCGTTGTACATTCAATGTTCACATTTTTTACATAAATATGATGACCAAAACGACTGCTTATGAGTTGCAGGTGTAATCCAATTCTGTAAAGAAGTAAAGCCAGCAAATGACATTTTACTTTTTTTAGTTTTAACATTACCCACACGGAAATCTGATGTACGGCAACATATGGATTTCAAATATGTGACATAAATTGGCATATATGGATTCCCCTTATATCCAAATCATGTTTGTCCCATTATGGATATTTATGTCAGATATATGCCAACTTCCTTGAAATTGCCCATTTTAAATATGGGACATACATTTTGCCATATATCAACATATACAATTATATTTGTGTAACACACATTTATCAATATATGATAGAAAACATTAATCATATATGGAGGGCATACATTAGTTGTATATGCCAGCTTCATGTTATGTAATATAAGATTTTTGTGCATCTTCTTTGTTACTTCAATATACATACCTCCTAATAAAGTGGAAATTAGTAGAATAGCTAACACTACTAAACTCTAAAAACATGCATGTATATGTATGATCCATATATTATGCATACATGTCCAATATTTGATACTTACATGTATGTGCACAACATATACATGCATATATTTTGAAACCTGTGCCTGACCTTTGTGATATATGTGCAAATATGGCCATATATCAGACTTCTGTATGCATAATCCAAGATGAGACATAAACATGGATCATTTAGATTCAGACCAGATAAAACAGAATTTGCATGATTCCAAAAAGGACTTTATCTCAGAACATGTAAAAGAATGTTCCAGGGGAAGCAGTGTTACAAACGTGACAGCGACATGTGGGTTGGAGTGTCATTTGAAATCTTCTCTAAGGTGTGTGCTCTTTGAATGACCTTAATGAACATGTTGGTGAGCTAAATTTTTGAAGCTACATTGGGATTTGAGCAAATCTTATTCCAAAAGCTGCTAGTTACCCATTCAACTGTGATATAAAGGGAGGCGTTTTAACAGTCAATAAGAATATGATTAGAGCATTTATACATTGTCCTGACAAGTTCATGTCATAATGCATGGCTTTCACTTTATGCAGATAGCAGTAAGAGCTTGTAAATTTGTGTCATGTTTGTCAAGAGGAGTAGAGCAGCAAGTTAAAACAACTGGCATATCATACATTTACAAAAAACATGTAATTCATTTCTACATGATGATTTTTCAACCTCTCTTTATCTCTTTGAATTAAACAGGCTGTTTTTTGTTACTGTGCCTTTAAGGCTGATTTATATAAATGAGCTCAGCTCTGATTGGCCACCCTGTATTGGTACCTTGTCCAAACAGCAGTCCAGGCTGAAACACTCCTTATAACTGCAGTATCAGTGAGTGGAGTTAAACTAAGCTAAATAGGCCGAATAGGTGGTTACATGTAAAAAGGTTAAAAAAGAGTTCAAAACAGGCCACTTTTGCAGCTTAGTTTTCCCTAAATGTTTGGACTGTGTTGACTGGACACAGCAAAGACTGGTACGTTTTGAAATTTTAAGTGTTTATGTACTATAGCAAACTCTTATTTTAAAGAAAGAGGACAGTTTATTTAATGCTTTCCATTTTATGGGCCCTTTAATGTTGGCATGTTGTTTCAAACCTTCAACCACTTAAAAGTAATGTTTTTAATCAGATCTGTACAGTATTAGTGTCCCAACTAATATGCACTCGTAGTGCTGCACTGCTCAGCTTAACTCTCAATGTACAAATCTGCTGTGAATGGATTAAAAATACATTTTAGACTAAAACTTTATCTCAGAAGTGTCGTAAAATAATGTCTAATGCACCAGGCAGCATGTTCATAATCATTTAGTGTAATAGTTTTCTGTGAGGGATCTTTTAGAGGCATTAATCCTCCGTCTGGTTCCTACCACCACTGTGAATTATTCTGAGTTGATCGGTCTCTCTATAATGGAGCATTTCAAATCCAACCACGCGTTTTTAATGATTTAATTGTTTAGAAACTTTGACAAATCAGTGGAATTCCCCTTTCACAGTTAAAGGAAAAAGTATTTTTCTTTATGAGTGATCTGTATTCCATCTTTTGTAGCTACTCACATCAACACTGCAAAAGAGGAACTGAAAATGTGCCTTTGCCCGCAGACATGCTGTCTGAAGATTTATGATGTAACTGAGAAAAAGATTGATGGAACAGTGAGTTGTTTAAGGATACAGTTTGTTTTAAAAAAGAAAAAGAAAAAGGAAAAAATGTTCAAAGGGGTTTACAGTAATGTTTAAAAATAAAGGTATCTTATAAACAAAAAAGATTCTTTGGAGTGACACTATTAAAGAACTTTTTAGTGCATAGTTGTCAACAAAGTTATTTTTGTAAATGAGATGTGTAAGTAAAGCTAAAGTTAACTATTAATGTTTTCTTTCTAGAACTGTACATCCAAGCCAAGAACCATTTAGGAACCCTTATTTTTGAGAGTTTATAAATGTCCAAAGGTTTGTAGTTCCTGGGCAAATGCATTCAAGTAAGCAAGCAAGCAAGCAAAGTTTATTTATACAGCGCTTTTTACAACAGGTGTTGTCACAAAGCAGCTTTACAAGGAAATCAGCATTACAGAAAGAAATCCGGGTCCAAGCCCCCATGAGCGTCGCCAGAGGCGACAGTGGCAAGGAAAA